GTATGCTCGTTCGCTTACCTCTGTAAGTTGAAAAACTGTCTATCACTGAATCGGTACAGAATACATGAAATACAAGATAAAACAATGATAAAAAAAATTTATCCATTTCCTTAGATTATCAGTTTTTTTAAAAATACAGAAAATAACTACCAAGCATTTTTAGAGACCTAAGAGGTTGTTTGGTTCATTTCCTAGAAATCTAAATTTGGGAAATTATTTATGGAAAATAGGTTGTAGGACTCATTTTCATGTTTTTAAACTCATTTCATGACTTTTTTAGATGAAATATGTTTCATTAAATTTGGAACTCATGATACTATTATCTTACTAGTGAGTGGGTCTTACATGCGTAACATCTCTTTTTTTTTCCTCTCTCCACCGAACACAAGAAAATATGTTTTGATTTACTTTTCTTAGGTTCTCAGCCAATCAAGCATCTCCTAAATAGAATTTGGCTAAAAAGAAATAAAAGGCAAGATACAGAGAGAGAGAAAATCCAAACGAGGAAAAGAAAAGTCATACCAATTGGAGAAACATAGATTTGGGGCTCGGGAGTAGCAAAGAGACGTGACCACGAAGGACGCCTGCTTTTAATTAATAATAATAATAATTGGAAAGAAGCGGGTGACAGAAAACATCTTAATAATAATAATTAGGGAGAGAGAAGAGACAAGGGAAGGAAGAGGCTTCAAATACCAAACCCCGTCTTCGTTCTTTGAACCCATTTCTGACTTCACGTGTCCTTCTCCTTTCTTCCTTATCCTTTTCCTTCTCTCCTCACGTTAAAAAAGCTCTGTCCTCCAAGAAAGAGAGGAAGAGATAAAATCGAAAAAAAAAAATAATAATAAATAAATTTGTTGTGAGAGTTTGTTTTTGGGTAGTGCATATGGAGGATAGCAAGAGAGCAGCCAAGGCTTTTGTTGATCAATATTTCCCCGTGAACGATCCGAAGCCCAACTCTACCGATGTCTTTGAGGACCTCTTCCCATCAAACTCGAAGAAGGTACGTGGTTTTGCTAATTGGGTCGTTCTTGTTGAAATGATTTACTTAGTGGTTTTACAGCAGAAAATATGATCTTAATTCTGTTTTTGATTGTTCTCTCGCTGATTTTATCACAGCAGGTCCGTGATCACGATCTTCTGTCTTCTCAGGTGTCTCCCAAGAAGCAGGGGCATGGGGTTCAGGGTTGGAGTGCTCGGATGGCAACTGCAGGTTCTTGGTTGTTTCCATTGACAACCTATGATAACCGTGTTGACTACCGAAGACTAATTTGATAACTAATTTCCCGATTAGCTCCACGGGCACAGTTTGACTCTCTTAAGGTTGAAACTATAAATCTTCAATGAATAATAATAATAATAAGCATCATGAGATGTTCTCTTTAAAGCTTGCTATGTCTAATCATCGACCACAACGCATCGTAACATAGCGTCTTAAATCGGTGAAACGAACATTGTAGATTGCAAACATCAAGGTGACTCCAACAAAAGCCAGATCACACCTCAAGAGAGCGGCAATGATGCCGAACATAGCGAAGTTTCGGAGCCGTGCCTGATGAGCTCGTCTGTTGATTATGGTTGCCGGGATAACTACCCATATAATCCGGACAATCGATATCCTGGCCCTTCATATTATGTAGTAAGTGTTAATAGTTACAAAATTTACCTGAAAAAAGGTTGATCGTGAGATGCCGATGTATTTCGTTTTCAGAAGGGAAGTTTTTAATGTGGGGTTTTTGTTTCTTTAGGAGAAGAAGGATAGAAAGGATGGTTCAGAGTATGCAAACATTGAAGTTGCCGGAGGAGCAGAATGGTGGCAAGGTAGTATCTCAGTTTACAAGCTGAAAATTTTACGGATATACATGAAATGCCAAATTGATCCCTGTGCTATGGCCTCATACTCAAATTAGTCCAATTACTTTATTTTTTCCCCCCCACAATTTAGTCCTTGTACCGTTTGTTAGGTGTAAACTTAGTCCTATTTTAACTCTTTGTTAAAAGATCCGTTAACTATAAATAAAGGACAACATTACCCTAATGTTAAAGATTAAATATTAATTAATTGTATTTCCTGTTAATTTTATTTCTGGTTATATAAAAATACACAAAATGAAGAAATCATTTATGAAAAGAAAGCGGATTTTGTAAAACCTCAAAAAATAGATTTATGAAAAAGGTCTGAGGAGACTATCGTCTAAATTATTTGCTCTACGTACATTACTTTCTGAGACTATTTTATTGATACCTACTGCAGCACGCAAAATGTTTGGAGTTCTGAGGGATTTGAATTTTTTTTCCTGTAGCTAGGCACTAGATAAGTCACTCGATGAGGAAGTATGTATTGATTCCCTACATTCATGTTGCAAAGAGATCTCTATTCTCCATTAATAGATATTCTGGTAATATTTGACAGAGTATAAGTTGTGTGTTTTACTACTGCACAAAATTAAATCTGAAAAGATAAAACAATTCATCATCAAACTCTCAAACTTTTTATCTTTCTCCCCGTCATTATTAAACTCAAGTTACAAAGGACGCATAAAAAATGCTTATAAAACAAACCAGAAACCGAAAACCCAATCTCTCCGGCCTTTAATCTTGTTCTTTATTGAGATTAAAACTAGGTAATACATTTTTGACAAACTAGGATATTACTTCTGTAAAAAAATCACTCATAGAAAGTTATCTTTTCAGGATTTCTCTACTAGGAACAGTAGATTTTAAAGATTAGTTAAAAAAGAGGTGTTCTTAAAGTAGAGGGACCATTATTTCACGTCATTGAGGGTAATGTAGTCATAAATAAAAAGATAGCACCCAGTATTTAACGGATGTTATAAGCGGGCATAGTTTGTAGCCAAGTTGTGGTACAGGGACTACGTTGAGAAAAAAATAAAGTACGAGGACTAATTTGAGTTTGAAGCCCAAGTACTGGGACCAAATTGACTTTTTACCCTACCATGTTAAATGGATGCAGGAAAAATAATTTCATGCTACTTTTTCTGCAGGTTCACTCTACTACTGAAGTTCAACCAAGGCTCGCCACTCTCTGTTTAATCAGGAAGAAGGTAGTTTAGAATTTTGAGCTCTTGATAAAATTTGTTCATTATGCCAACATATTTATGCTTTTTTTTTTGAAGCTCTACATTGTTAGTGCTAA